GGTTGGCGAGCGAACAGGACCCCGTTCAATCTCCAAAGACGTTAAGATTAGAGCACCCTTAACTGGACTAGTCTGCTGTAGCCAGCAGTACCCTCCCCCTCCCCGCGCTTCACCCCTATAGTGCTTTAGTCAACTGGCTTAACATCAAACGAATTGATATCAAACAGTAACCAATCCCATTCAACGGTGCATCATATAATAGGACACCACTATACATGTCCCTTTCTGTAGAAGACTGCAGGTTTCTCCGGGCTGTTGAAGTGTTCCTTCCTGTACAGGACTCCACGTTTCTCCGGGCTGTTGAAGTGTTCCTTTCTGGACATGGTTTCTCCAGGCTGTTGTAGTGTTCCTTCCTGTACAGGACTCCACGTTTCTCCAGGCTGTTGTAGTGTCCCTTCTTGTACAAGACTGCACGTTTCTCCAGGCTGTTGTAGTGTTTCTTCCTGTACAGGACTGCACGTTTCTCCAGGCTGTTGTAGTGTTTCTTCCTGTACAGGACTGCACGTTTCTCGAGGCTGTTGTAGTGTTTCTTCCTGTACAGGACTGCACGTTTCTCCAGGCTGTTGTAGTGTTTCTTCCTGTACAGGACTGCACGTTTCTCCAGGCTGTTGTAGTGTTCCTTCCTGTACAGGACTGCACGTTTCTCCAGGCTGTTGTAGTGTTTCTTCCTGTACAAGACTGCACGTTTCTCCAGGCTGTTGTAGTGTTCCTCCCTTTACAGGACTGCACGTTTCTCCAGGCTGTTGTAGTGTTTCTTCCTGTACAGGACTGCACGTTTCTTCAGGCTGTTGTAGTGTTTCTTCCTGTACAGGACTGCACGTTTCTCCAGGCTGTTGTAGTGTTTCTTCCTGTACAAGACTGCACGTTTCTCCAGGCTGTTGTAGTGTTCTTCCCTTTACAGGACTGCACGTTTCTCCAGGCTGTTGTAGTGTTTCTTCCTGTACAGGACTGCACGTTTCTCCAGGCTGTTGTAGTGTCCCTTCCTGTACAGGACTGCACGTTTCTCCAGGCTGTTGTAGTGTCCCTTCCTGTACAGGACTGCACGTTTCTCCAGGCTGTTGTAGTGTTTCTTCTTTTACAGGACTGCAGGTTTCTCTAGGCTGTTGTAGTGTTTCTTCCTGTACAAGACTGCACGTTTCTCCAGGCTGTTGTAGTGTTCCTTCCTGTACAAGACTGCACGTTTCTCCAGGCTGTTGTAGTGTTCCTTCCTGTACAGGACTGCACGTTTCTCCAGGCTGTTGTAGTGTTTCTTCCTGTATAGGACTGCACGTGTCTCCAGGCTGTTGTAGTGTCCCTTCCTGTACAGGACTGCACGTTTCTCCAGGCTGTTATATTGTCCCTTCCTATACAGGACTGCACGTTTCTCCAGGCTGTTGTAGTGTTTCTTCCTGTACAGGACTGCACGTTTCTCCAGGCTGTTGTAGTGTCCCTTCCTGTACTGGACTGCACGTTTCTCCAGGCTGTTGTAGTGTCCCTTCCTATACAGGACTGCACGTTTCTCCAGGCTGTTGTAGTGTTTCTTCCTGTACAGGACTGCACGTTTCTCCAGGCTGTTGTAGTGTTTCTTCCTGTACAGGACTGCACGTTTCTCCAGGCTATTGTAGTGTTTCTTCCTGTACAGGACTGCACGTTTCTCCAGGCTGTTGTAGTGTTTCTTCCTGTACAAGACTGCACGTTTCTCCAGGCTGTTGTAGTGTCCCTTCCTGTACAAGACTGCAGGTTTCTCCAGGCTGTTGTAGTGTTTCTTCCTGTACAAGACTGCACGTTTCTCCAGGCTGTTGTAGTGTTTCTTCCTGTACAAGACTGCACGTTTCTCCAGGCTGCTGTAGTGTCCCTTCCTGTACAGGACTGCACGTTTCTCCAGGCTGTTGTAGTGTCCCTTCCTGTACAAAACTGCACGTTTCTCCAGGCTGCTGTAGTGTTTCTTCCTGTGCAGGACTGCACGTTTCTCCAGGCTGTTGTAGTGTCCCTTCCCGAACAAGACTGCACGTTTCTCCAGGCTGTTGTAGTGTCCCTTCCTGTACAAGACTGCACGTTTCTCCAGGCTGCTGTAGTGTTTCTTCCTCTGCAGGACTGCACGTTTCTCCAGGCTGTTGTAGTGTCACTTCCCGAACAAGACTGCACGTTTCTCCAGGCTGCTGTAGTGTTTCTTCCTGTGCAGGACTGCAGGTCTCTCCAGGCTTGTGTATCCCTTACTACTGCCCTAAAAATGATTTCTTTAGGAGCTCAACGGGATATCTGAAATCTGCCCTGTCATCCTGATTAAGGTTGTTGCTGTTTTTTACATTTTGATTCTGGTAAACTTTCTTTAGCAACTTGGAGGGGATAAAGTAATAGATTGATCGACCCCCACAGTACGGTTACAAAGTAACTTGTAGTCCACTTGGGATGAGCAAACGTGTGTGTGTGTGTGTGTGCGTGTGCGTGCTGCATCTCTTTCGCAGGTGCTATTTGAACGATCGATCAGTTTGTCCCCACATCCCCCTGTTAAGTAAAAGTTCGTAGTTTCGTTTTTCCTGAGATTGAAAATACAAAGTCTGAACGGCAGACCAACACGCAGATCCTGGATATTTTGTTCAACCTCCAGATAAATAATTAGGGCACCTGTATTGGCTGCATTGGCCAGGTGTCAGTCGCAGTTTCTTTGTAGATTTGGGCGATTTGCAGGTGAGCGAGTGAGTGAGTGAGTGAGTGAGTGAGTGAGTGAGTGAGTGTGTGTGTGTGTGTGTGAGTGAGTTAAGGAGTGAATGAGTGAGTGAGTGAGTGTGTGTGTGAGTGAGTGAGTGAGTGAGTGAGTGAGTGAGTGAGTGAGTGAGTGAGTGAGTGAGTGAGTGAGTGAGTGAGTGAGTGAGTGAGTGAGTGAGTGAGTGAGTGAGTGAGTGAGTGAGTGAATAAGTGAGTGAGTGAGTGAGTGAGTGAGTGAGTGAGTGAGTGAGTGAGTGAGTGAGTGAGTGAGTGAGTGAGTGAGTGAGTGAGTGAGTGAGTGAGTGAGTGAGTGAGTGAGTGAGTGAGTGAGTGAGTGAGTGAGTGTGTGAGTGAGTGAGTGAGTGAGTGAGTGAGTGAGTGAGTGAGTGAGTGAGTGAAGGAGTGAGTGAGTTAAGGAGTGAGTGAGTGATTAAAGGAATGAGAGACTGAGTGAGTGAGTGAGTGAAGGAGTGAGTGAGTGAGTGAGTGAGTGAGTGAGCAAAGGAGTGAGTGAGTGAAGGGGTGAATGAGTGAGTGAGTGAAAGAGTGAGTGAGTGAGTGAGTGAGTGTGTGTGTGAGTGAGTGAGTGAGTGAGTGAGTGAGTGAGTGAGTGAGTGAGTGAGTGAGTGAGTGAGTGAGTGAGTGAGTGAGTGAGTGAAGGAGTGAGTGAGTGAAGGAGTGAGTGAGTGAGTGAAGGAGTGAGTGAGTTAAGGAGTGAAAGACTGAGTAAGTGAGTGAAGGAGTGAGTGAGTGAAGGAGTGAGTGAGTAAAGGAATGCGAGACTGAGTGAGTGAGTGAGTGAAGGAGTGAGTGAGTGAGCAAAGGAGTGAGTGAGTGAGTGAATGAGTGAGCGAGTGAAAGAGTGAGTGAGTGAAGGAGTGAGTGAGTGAGTGAGTGAGTGACGGAGTAAGTCAGTGAGTTAGTGAGTGAATTTCAACCACATCAGAACCACACAACGAGCAATCAACACTCGGTGACACAAAGTGCCACCGTTCGGATGAGAATTCCCGTTTGAGCGTTGCGTTACATTAAGGCCCGCGACGATAGCTGAGGTGAGGCAGTAAAATAACGAAACATTTCGTCGCATTTTTAGACGCGTCGAGTTACAGATGCTGAAACAACGACATTCTGTTGACTGTGATCCCCCCCCCCCCCCCCGCCCCACCCTTTTGGGTCTCTCTTTTAAACACACTCAGTTTAGTTTTTCGTTTGTTCTGTTTTAACCAACTTCGTCTTACCAATTTAGCTGGTAATATTATATCTTCCAGCAATTACTACTGTATAGCCAGATTTAAATTCCTTTTAAAAAAAAAATATCAAAAATGATCTTTTCAATATTTATATTACCTCCCTTTGTCAATATTTTTATGCTGGTAGTTATCATCGCTGTGCGGATTACTCTCCCTTGAAAATGTTTCCTTCATAAATATTTAATTAGAGTTTTCCGTAAACAATCAGGTCTTTTAGTTTAGAATAAGGATTATTTTTTTTTCCTTGTTGGAAAAATCATTGTGCTCCTGGGAAAAACAAGGTCTTTACACAATGGATAGATTAAAGCGAGAGATGTTTTCAAGCTGTTTGTCCTTATCTGTACTTCAAGAGTTATATTGAAGTTATTAAAGGTTTTCATTAACTTCTGGGTAGCGTGGCATACACATTGACAGGCAGGCCTTGCATTGTGTGATATGTGGATTCCATCTATCGTTACAATTTTTTAAATAACATTTGTACCCTCCAGATTTGAATCAGTAAGTTACGGAAACTACGTTCAACCGTATAGCCATACAGTGCGGTTACTTTGGGGCACCACATAACAGTTATATTGGGGCATCACAGAACAGTTATATTGGGGCACCACAGAACTGTTACATCGGGCACTACATAACAGTTAAATTGGTGCACAACAGAACGGTTGTATTGGGGCACCGTAAATCGGTTACATCGGGCACCATAGAACGGTTACATTGGAGCACCATAGAAAGGTTACATTAGGGCACCTTAGAACTGTTACATTAGGGCACCACAGAACGGATACATTAGGGCACCAAAGAACTGTTACATTGGGGCACCAAAGAACGGTTACATTGGGGCACCCCATAACGGTTACATTGGGGCACCCCATAACGGTTACATTGGGGCACCCCATAACGGTTACATTGGGGCACCCCATAACGGTTACATTGGGGCACCCCATAACGGTTACATTGGGGCACCCCATAACGGTTACATTGGGGCACCATATTACTGTTACATTAGGGCACCACAGAACTATTATATTGGGGCACCACAAAATACATTGGAGCACCGCAGAACTGTTACATCGGGGCACCATAGAAGTGTTACATCGGAGCACCACAGAACTGTTACCAAGTAACTTGCGGTCTAGTGTGGGTGGATTGTATGCAATATTTTTCGGTAAATAAAGTGTTTGTGCCATCATCAACAGGTGACATGTGGTGTATGGAATATCATCATTATCATCAGGTGCCTTGCTGACTCTCCACAATCCACGAGCTCTTGCAGCATGCATCAGCTCGTGTGCTGACACACCTCCATGCCATGCAACAAGACTGTCAAGAATCTTCACTCGCTGTGTTCCTCTATCCCTCTTTCAACAGATCTTTTCAGTGGTCACAACATGTTCCATTTGCCCCCTTCACATAACATAGCCGAAAAGTTATGACTGTCTTCTTCTAATGTCTGTGATAAGTTGTCTTCGGGCTCCCGCCTCTTTCAACAGATCTTTTCAGTGGTCACAACATGTTCCATTTGCCCTCTTCACATAACATAGCCGAAAAGTTATGACTGTCTTCTTCTAATGTCTGTGATAAGTTGTCTTCGGGCTCCCGCCTCTTTCAAAACCTCTTGGTTGCTCTTTTAGGCTGTCTAAGGTATTTTAAGTATTCTTCAGTAAAACCACATCTCTAAGGCCTCGGGAAATTGTTTGGCCTGCCTACCGATTGTCCAGGATTCACAGCCAAATGATAAAACTGGATGTATGTAGCAAGCAAGAATTCTTTTTCTTAAATCAAATGACAGGGATTTATTACATAAGATGTTCTTCATTTTATAAAATGCAGTTTTTGCCTGTCCTATTCCGTTTCTTATCTCAGTAATACATCTTCCGTCTGATGTTATCCATGTGTCACTTAAATTTATGCACGTGTCCCAAAATAACGCCACCTACTTTTATTTATATATTGGAATATTTGTCAATTATTCTGCGTGGTGTGGGCCGAGTACCGAATGGTCTTTACTACGAGGACCGTCTCCAACGTTTTTTCTGGAGATAGTCGTTTATCAAATATACATGCCCAATGTACCTCAAAGCGTAGAAAGGGATCATTTACTTTACTAAAGTAAAATACTAGAGCATCGGCTGTTCGAGTAGTTAGTACACCAAGCTCTCGTGCGAATGACCTAGGTTTGATCTTCGATAAAGGATAGATTTGTTTCTGTCGGGAGCAAAAATATAAATTTAAAAAAAACCACACGCATAAATTATGTCAGAATTTCTGGAGACAAAACTAGCCTTAAATCCTAATGCTTAGGACCCCTCCCCCTCCCCCGCCCACCTAAGTACAGGCAGCGAAGAGACAAATTAAAAAATAAATATCTGTATGAGTCTGCCTGTTTGTCTACTTGCCAATCCGTCTGTCTATTCCTATAGTATATGTTCATCAAACTTTATGTCTGTCTACAAGTGTGACTGCACCCATGTCTATAAGTCTGTCTTCGGGTCTTATATCTTCTATCTCTCGGACCAAGACTATTTCTTTTATGCACTTTAATTTTTTTTTTTCCTTTGCATTATTTCATCATTCTTATTGTGTCAACATTTCCATTGTTTGCTTGTGTATCGATGAACACACACATTTTAGATCTGACAAACAAATAGAAAAGCTGGTCTGCTGTGTCAACCTTTCCCTTTGAAATTTATTTGTCTCCGTAATTTCAATACCTGTTCTAAAAATTACTGTTTTCATATGACCCGCACACACAAAAACTGAAAAAAAAAAAACAAAAAAAAACTGTACAGGGGAAAAGGCTTCAGTTCAAATAAATTCATCATGAGAAATCAATATTTAAGGAGAACAGTCAACTAGGCTTTCCTAACATGAACAAATCAATCGTCTACATAAAAACAATAAAGTAACCTTGAACAAAGGCATAAAGTGCATTTGGTTAGACAAATACTTGCATCACTTGAACAAATAAGTGCATTCACGGCGTCATTGCAAGGCGTGTTCCAGATTTTTAACATAAGAAATGATTTATGCCAACAAGAAAATAACGTCGCACTGCTTGATCTGGACAACACGATATTTATGTGCTTATTACGAGCCTAAGTTTCAGGTAGTTGTGTGTGTGTGTTTGTGTGTGTGTGTGTGTGTGTGTGTGTGTGTATGTGTTTGTGTGTGTTTGTGTATGTTTGTGTGTGCTTGTAGCGGATGTACTTTTGCGAAGAATCATTATCATCATTGTCACCATCATTGTCAGCAGATAGGCTCTTTTAGCTCTCTGTATGCCAGATACAGCAGATGTGAAGGGCCAAAAGTACGGAACTGGATTGTTTCAATACTGTCGAAAGGATTGCGCACGATAGAACGGAGACGAACAATAATGTACGTGCGGTTGCAGTATATAAAATGTTCAACGGGATGATGATGATGATGATAATGATGATGATAATTATAATGATGATGATGATAATGATGATGTAATACAGTGATTGTTATGTCTCATTTTTTCGTTTGTATGAGAAAATTATGGCATTAATTAATGTTCAAAAATTAGGTGCGAAAGGCTGAGTGGACGACGGTCACGACAAAACACAATAGCTCAAGACTACGTGAAGATGGCAGCCATACATTGTTGTGTGAGACACGAAGATGTGCGAGAAAGGAAGATGTGTGAGAAAGGAAGATGTGTGAGAAAGGAAGAGGTGTGAGAAAGGAAGATGTGTGAGAAAGGAAGATGTGTGAGACACGAAGATGTGTGAGAAAGGAAGATGTGTGAGACACGAAGATGTGTGAGAAAGGAAGATGTGTGAGAAAGGAAGATGTGTGAGAAAGGAAGATGTGTGAGACAGGAAGATGTGCGAGAAAGGAAGATGTGTGAGACAGGAAGATGTGTGAGAAAGGAAGATGTGTGAGACAGGAAGATGTGTGAGAAAGGAAGATGTGTGAGAAAGGAAGATGTGTGAGAAAGGAAGATGTGTGAGAAAGGAAAATGTGTGAGAAAGGAAGATCTGTGAGAAAGGAAGATGTGTGAGACGCGAAGATGTGTAAGACACGAAGATGTCTGAGAAAGGAAGATGTGTGAGAATGGAAGATGTGTGAGACACGAAGATGTGTGAGAAAGGAAGATGTGTGGGACACAAAGATATGTGAGACACGAAGATGTGTGCGACACGAAGATGTGTGAGAAAAGAAGATGTGTGGGACAGGAAGATGTGTGACTCACGAAGATGTGTGAGAAAGGTAGATGTGTGAGACGCGAAGATGTGTGCGACACGAAGATGTGTGAGAAAAGAAGATGTGTGGGACAGGAAGATATGTGACTCACGAAGATGTGTGACACACGAAGATGTGTGAGACACAAAGATGTGTGAGACATGAAGATGTGTGAGACGCGAAGATGTGTGAGACACGAAGTGTGAGAAAGGAAGATGTGTGAGACACGAAGATGTGTGAGAAAGGAAGATGTGTGAGACACGAAGATGTGTGAGAAAGGAAGATGTGTGGGACACGAAGATGTTCGAGACCTGAAAATGTGTAAGACACAAAGATGTGTGAGACACAAAGATGTGTGAGACACAAAGATGTGTGAGACACAAAAAGATGTGTGAGACCCGAACATGTGTGAGACACAAAGATGTGTGAGACACGAAGATGTGTGAGAAAGGAAGATATGTGAGACACAAAAAGATGTGTGAGACCCGAACATGTGTGAGACACAAAGATGTGTGAGACACAAAGATGTGTGAGACACAAATATGTGTGAGACACAAAGATGTGCGAGACCCAAAGATCTGTGAGACACAAAAAGATGTGTGAGACCCGAACATGTGTGAGACACAAAGATGTGTGAGACACGAAGATGTGTGAGACACAAATATGTGTGAGACACGAAGATGTGTGAGAAAGGAAGATGTGTGAGACACAAAAAGATGTGTGAGACCCGAACATGTGTGAGACACAAAGATGTGTGAGACACAAAGATGTGTGAGACACAAATATATGTGAGACACAAAGATGTGCGAGACCCAAAGATCTGTGAGACACAAAAAGATGTGTGAGACCCGAACATGTGTGAGACACAAAGATGTGTGAGACACGAAGATGTGTGAGAAAGGAAGATGTGTGAGAAAGGAAGATGTGTGAGACACGAAGATGTGTGAGGCACGAAGATGTGTAAGAAAGGAAGATGTGTGAGAAAGGAAGATGTGTGAGACACGAAGATGTGTGAGGCACGAAGATGTGTGAGACACAAAGATGTGTGAGACATGAAGATGTGTGAGACGCGAAGATGTGTAAGACACGAAGATGTCTGAGAAAGGAAGATGTGTGAGAATGGAAGATGTGTGAGACACGAAGATGTGTGAGAAAGGAAGATGTGTGGGACACAAAGATATGTGAGACACGAAGATGTGTGCGACACGAAGATGTGTGAGAAAAGAAGATGTGTGGGACAGGAAGATGTGTGACTCACGAAGATGTGTGAGAAAGGTAGATGTGTGAGACGCGAAGATGTGTGCGACACGAAGATGTGTGAGAAAAGAAGATGTGTGGGACAGGAAGATATGTGACTCACGAAGATGTGTGACACACGAAGATGTGTGAGACACAAAGATGTGTGAGACATGAAGATGTGTGAGAGGCGAAGATGTGTGAGACACGAAGTGTGAGAAAGGAAGATGTGTGAGAAAGGAAGATGTGTGAGACACGAAGATGTGTGAGAAAGGAAGATGTGTGAGACACGAAGATGTGTGAGAAAGGAAGATGTGTGGGACACGAAGATGTGCGAGACCTGAAAATTTTTAAGACACAAAGATGTGTGAGACATGAAGATGTGTGAGACGCGAAGATGTGTAAGACACGAAGATGTCTGAGAAAGGAAAATGTGTAAGACACAAAGATGTGTGAGACACAAAGATGTGTGAGACACAAAAAGATGTGTGAGACCCGAACATGTGTGAGACACAAAGATGTGTGAGACACGAAGATGTGTAAGAAAGGAAGATGTGTGAGACACAAAAAGATGTGTGAGACCCGAACATGTGTGAGACACAAAGATGTGTGAGACACAAAGATGTGTGAGACACAAATATGTGTGAGACACAAAGATGTGCGAGACTCAAAGATCTGTGAGACACAAAAAGATGTGTGAGACCCGAACATGTGTGAGACACAAAGATGTGTGAGACACGAAGATGTGTGAGACACAAATATGTGTGAGACACGAAGATGTGTGAGAAAGGAAGATGTGTGAGACACAAAAAGATGTGTGAGACCCGGACATGTGTGAGACACAAAGATGTGTGAGACACAAAGATGTGTGAGACACAAATATGTGTGAGACACAAAGATGTGCGAGACCCAAAGATCTGTGAGACACAAAAAGATGTGTGAGACCCGAACATGTGTGAGACACAAAGATGTGTGAGACACGAAGATGTCTGAGAAAGGAAGATGTGTGAGAATGGAAGATGTGTGAGACACGAAGATGTGTGAGAAAGGAAGATGTGTGGGACACAAAGATATGTGAGACACGAAGATGTGTGCGACACGAAGATGTGTGAGAAAAGAAGATGTGTGGGACAGGAAGATGTGTGACTCACGAAGATGTGTGAGAAAGGTAGATGTGTGAGACGCGAAGATGTGTGCGACACGAAGATGTGTGAGAAAAGAAGATGTGTGGGACAGGAAGATATGTGACTCACGAAGATGTGTGACACACGAAGATGTGTGAGACACAAAGATGTGTGAGACATGAAGATGTGTGAGAGGCGAAGATGTGTGAGACACGAAGTGTGAGAAAGGAAGATGTGTGAGAAAGGAAGATGTGTGAGACACGAAGATGTGTGAGAAAGGAAGATGTGTGAGACACAAAGATGTGTGAGAAAGGAAGATGTGTGGGACACGAAGATGTGCGAGACCTGAAAATGTGTAAGACACAAAGATGTGTGAGACATGAAGATGTGTGAGACGCGAAGATGTGTAAGACACGAAGATGTCTGAGAAAGGAAAATGTGTAAGACACAAAGATGTGTGAGACACAAAGATGTGTGAGACACAAAAAGATGTGTGAGACCCGAACATGTGTGAGACACAAAGATGTGTGAGACACGAAGATGTGTGAGAAAGGAAGATGTGTGAGACACAAAAAGATGTGTGAGACCCGAACATTGGTGAGACACAAAGATGTGTGAGACACAAAGATGTGTGAGACACAAATATGTGTGAGACACAAAGATGTGCGAGACCCAAAGATCTGTGAGACACAAAAAGATGTGTGAGACCCGAACATGTGTGAGACACAAAGATGTGTGAGACACGAAGATGTGTGAGACACAAATATGTGTGAGACACGAAGATGTGTGAGACACGAAGATCTGTGAGACACGAAGATGTGTGAGCGCAGACTCAAAGGTTCACGGCTGTAAGAAAGATTAGTAGAGATGTGTAAATATTTGAGAATGAATCGATGAGAGGATGTACCATCGACCGATAACGCAGAGAATCTTGGCTATGTTATCTCGTCCACGAATGGCTACCTGAGAAAGTCGGCTGTGATCAAGGATTTATTGCGAACTCCTAGGACTAAGTGTGATGAACCAACTGTTAGAAGAGTCGACTTTGAGAGGATCCACCCTTAGGATAACTACAACTTATTTGTTTGATAAGTCCATGAACCCGATTGCTGGTCAAAGCCTAGACATTTTGACCTCTTTCGTGACTAAGATGAAAGCTAAGTAGCGAAA